GCCTTCCAGCGCCTCTGCATCTCACGTATGGTCACATTAAATTTGACGTAGACACTTTTGTAAATTTGGAACTGAAGCAGCTAGAGAATTGAGACCTTCTAGCTGTAATCGGCAGAGGCGTTTTACCAACTGGACGTAAAAGCAACCGGCACATTCCTTTCTTGCCTCAGTTACGGAAACGTGAATTTTGACGTGACTCCGCAACCGAATTATCTAGAGTGCTGAATTTTTTGAGCATGGATGTGAGCCACTGTAATAATTTCTGACAGTTGTGGTGGCCAGCTTCAATTCCTTTAGCTAAACGCATTTGACAGGAAAAAAAGTGCAGTTAGCGGCAACAACATGCTGAAGAACTGTGCAGAAGAAAATTTTTTTATCGGCAATCGGTGTGCCGGAAAATTGTTTGAAAATTACCTATCTGTCTACTGAGCAATCTTTCCGCCAAAACTTTCGCGTGCTCCTAAATGAAAACATCCAGATCTCAGGGTTAAGCTTGAAATTTTTAGGTTGTATTTGGACAGGAAACAATCCTTTAATATTTCAGCTAACCGGTTTTTTTGGTTCCCGAGTTAGCAGTTTTCTCGTGCCCAAGAATCACGCATGCCTACGGTATGAATTTTAAATCTTTTGCACGTAGGCAAAAAACACACCCTTAAAATTTCAGCTTTCGATCTTCTCTAGCTCCTGAGATCACTTTCTCGTCAAGAAAATTGCATATTTTTTTGAGACGTCCGTGTGTTGGGCCCAGGCGTACAGGAAAGGTAAAATTAAAGCGGGAGGGTCACACAGCGGTTAAGCACATACCCCCGAAATTTTAAAGTTCTAGGTTTTTCTGGTCCTCCATTTGGAAGTGAGTGACAAAAAGTGCAAATGTACAGACAAACACAGACATCCTCGTGCCAGTATGCGCTTCTGATTGTTGTAGCAGCGCTGTAACGCTGCACAACAAAAGCGCCTAAAAACCCTTGAAAATAGAATTGGAAACTGCTAACATTTGTTTCTTGGCACCAGTATCCAGCCAAAGAGCACTCCATCCTTTCGGTCGGCATTGACTGAAGTGAAAGTTGTTTGTTTTGTTTAACTGTGGTTTCGGCATGCAAGTTTACGGGTGGTCGAAAATCGTGTTGTTTGAAAATTACATCGCAGACAGAATGGAATAAAGCAGGCTCTGCTCTGGCAAATTCCGAAACAAATTCGTCTGTTGGCACTGATAGATTGACTTGTGATTCGAGCACTTGGACGTCAAGCAAACTTTCGAGTGAGATCGAACGAAATGAACTATCTTCACCAATGTCACTCTGTTCCAAAAATGCACCTCTCTGTAAACATAAAAAAATCACGATTGTTCCAAGCAAAGGGAATTCGGCTTCGATATACAAGTGTCCAAAACATCTGATGTTGCAAACAGAATGCTAGCCATCTGGAGGTAATGACTGTTTTCATTTTTCGCAAGCATCAAATGATGCTTTTATGCTAGGCGCTGGCATTTACCATGCATTCATGAGCCTGTTGGTTTATATGCTTATAATTACATTTCATACATAGACTATATAGCAAACACATATGCATCAGACAGATAACAAAAACAAATATACATTAAGCACAGTATTACTTTTCTTTTTAGATCTGCAGTTTGGCATTATTTTTAAACTACTTCGGTTTAAGTGGCTTATGATAGCGTAATGAAGAAGCAAAACCTCCTCTCTTTTACTCTAGAAGAAAGTTACATAAAGTTCGTTTAAAAATAAAACGGAACTTAACAAAAATTGAACGAAATAAAAAGGAAGAGTGAAAAGTAAACAAAATACACTTTGGGATCCGTTCACAGACCTCAAGTTTTGATATCTCGTCTAAAATGCGCTAGGACAGCGATTCCAACACAAACATCAAGGGATATCAGAGGTCCAAAAAAAGGCGGTTAAAGAGAATTTATCGGAGATCCGCTATGATGGTATCCCGCATGCTAAAGCTGTTGATGCAATCAGTAGTTTATGTAGGCAATCCTGTCATCTACTCTAAGTCCCATTCGTCTTCATCTGTTGTGTAGCTTCAGGCATTTGAGCTTCAATCTACTTGATTTCGTTTTGGTCTTGATTTGGTCCGGCTATCGCATCCTTGCGTCGATTCATCATACCCGCTTCTACTGTCGTGTGACTGTTTCGTGCAAATAGTTCGACAGTCATTTGAATTTGCGCGTTATTCTGTTGTCGTTGAGCAACCTTGGATGGACAGTTTGCGTGCAAATCAGAAATACAAAGTTATAGTCCAACGCATTTCCACATCTCTGTTCTCGCAGATCCTCCGATGCATTCATTTCTTCATACATTTGCTGTAGAATTTGTAAGAACGTACTAAATAAAGTGAGTACCTTTTCAGCGGATTTAGAAGCGTTAGGCGACAATTCGTTTGTTGCTTGCTCAAGATTGTTGTGGTGATCAGGCCCTGGTTTTTCACCGTAAAACGAAATTCCAGAAGTATCCGAATAAGATGAACAACCATCGGCAGTCCTGTTGCTTTGGAAAAATGGGTTTATCTGAAGACAAGAAGATCAGTTATTTCAACAGTTATCTAAGCATAAGAAGTGCTTATTCGGTGGCTGAACGATTACAAAATTTTGTTTTTCAAGAAGAACCGCCGATTTTGTCTAGACAAAAATAGCTTGAACATATTCATTCTATGAATTGAGGTCGGGGACCCCTCGTGTACTGTACGAAATTATTGCTCATATACACGTTCGTCATGCTTTCGCCTGCATGATGGCTGACTTGCAATGGACTTGCCCAGCCGCATATTCTCATCTCGATTACACTAAGGTCAATTCAAAATAATCATCGTCTTCAGACGGAAGCAGATCGAGGAAAACGGGTACTGCAAGCAGTTTTAACGAGGGTGAAGCAAACAACTTTTATTGCGACAACAACAAAAAAGTGTCGCCTCAGCGGCTAGGCGCACTTGGCACTAGGCGGGACCCAAAACGTTTTCAGACAAAGTGAGCAGTGCACTACAGTGAGGAAAATAGATAATCCACTTTCAGAAGACGAGCTCAAAATCCCAATTCATCTTTTATAAGCTCAGGTTCGTTAGAAAAATGAAGCTGCTTTGCATCCTCTTATCTCTCGTATTAAAGTAACGACAAAAAATGGGCGAACTCGGTCCCGAAGAGTGAGCTAATTTATTGTTTGTGCGTTGGCTAGTAGTATAAAGAAGTTGTTTAATGCGTGGTTTCATATTTGTTTTGGTCTTTTCTTACATATAGGGGCAAGGGCAACGGCTGAGATGGTAGTACTGTATTATTCGAGAACATCTAGCGTGTATAATTATCAGTTCCGCATGAAGTCCAGTTATTTTTTCGATGAGCGATAGCCAATCATTCATACAAAAATGCAAATTTAACAAGGCACGGAATGTCGGAAAAAAGATTACATTCAGGCTAAAACGTACCAACCCTGCCGTTGCGATCCAGCATTTTTGGAGCAAACTTGATGTAATTAAATTAACTGCATGAATAGTTGTTGCTTCACACCTACCCCGCGCTCAATGCCGTAAATCATCATAAATTTTGCATGAATAGAAATAAACAATTTCCGTTTAGAAATCGTTTTTATGTGTTTTTGCATATATGCAAATTGCTAAAACGCATATTGATAAGACGTTGTCTGTGCCTTCGCACTTTTTGTCACCTACTTTTAACAGGAGAACTTGAAAAGCTAGAAAGCTGAAATTTTGTGGGTATGTGCCCATACGCGCGGCTTTCCTGTTTAATATCTCCCGCGTATGTTTGCGTGCTGTGTAAGAACGGCTTAAAAAAAATGCAAATTTTTTGGCGAGAAAGCGATCTCGAGAAACAGACAAGAAGGTATGGGGCTGAAACTTTGTAAGGATATCCCCAGTGCACGTGTCAGCTGAAAATTTCAAACCCAACCCCCAGCTATACATAGTACTCACATGCGGGCGTACGAAAGTTTTGGTGGGAAGGTCGCTAACTCGGGAACCAGAGAAGCTAGAGAGCTGAAATTTTGGGGGAATGTCCACTGTCCAAGTGTAACTCAAATATTTAAAATTCAACCTTCAGGTGTGCATGGTCCTCACGAACGGGCACTTAAAGGTCTGGCGGGAAAATTGTTCATTGAACAGCTAGGTGTTACTTTCAAATGGAAGTTGTACGTTTATTTTATGCAAAATTTATCGTGATTTACGCTATTGAGTGCAAAGGTAGGCGTAAAGCAACAACCATTCATGCAGTTAATGACCTGAGTACTTCAAGTCTAACGCAAAAACGCATGATCGCAGTGGCAAGCATGGTGCGTTCCAGCCTGGGTTTAAAAATGAACCAGCTGTTCAATGAGCAATTTCCCCGTCAAAAAATTTAAGTGCCCGTACATGAGAAACACAACATTCCTGGAGGCTGAACTTGAAACCTTTAAGTCATATTTGCACGGGGAATATTCCCTTAAAATTTCAGCAGCTTTTCTGGTTTCTGAGTTAATAGTTTTCCCGCCACAACTTTCACAGAGCCGAAAGTGACCTAGGGCACACTGGGAGCTGGATATGATAACTTCAGGTTCTACATAGGTTGTGAATATCCTCATAAAGTTCCATCTTCCAGCTTTTCTGGTTCCTAGGTTAGCCATTTTCCTCCAAAAACTTTCACGAGGCCGTACGCGAGAGCCACGCACACCTAGGGGCTGAATTTGATCACTACACGTTGCATATGAGTTGAGAACTTCCCCTTAAAATTTCAGCCTTCTAGCTTTTCTGGTCTCCAAGTCAGCAATTTCCCCGCCAGGAACGCACAGGGTCGTATGTGAGAACTATGCACACTTGGGGGCTGAGCTTGAAATCTTTGAGCTATATGAGAGGTGAGCATAAAATTTCACCTTTCTAGCTTTTCTCACTTCCGAGTTAGCAGCTTTCCGCCAAAATTTTCACGCGCTCGCACACTGGGCCCCGGACGATCGTGAAGTTGGTGCCGTGGCCCTGGGGTTGCACATGGCCAGCTGGCAAAATTTGAGAGCCAACTGGCAAGATTTTGGCGCTGAAGCTTTCTTGGTTGCCGAGTTAAAACACACAGACGGGCGAACACACACACACACACGCACACTCACATCTGCAAACAGACTGAGTCGTTGCAATACGCGCTTTTGCAATTTGTATACAAGCAACTTAGTCGACAGCGCACTGGCTGCCAGTGCGAAGATGCGTTTTTTGCACAGTTCCTCCCAGGATTTGTTGCTGATGGTGCTGTTTTTTCCGGCAGATGCTTCTGACCAAGTGAACTGGGAGTAGCCAACACCACGATTGGAAATTATTACAGTGACTCCTAATCCATGCTCAATCAATTCCGCACTTTGGATGCTTCATTTGCGCAATTTCATCAGATTTCAAATGTTCGTGCGTGAGCGGCAGCGTCAATGCTGTCTTCGCGTGCACTTGCTCAAACAGGGTCCTAAATCACGCTAAGAAAATTCCAGCCCTCTAGCTTTTTCGGCTGAGAAGTTGCGTCGAAATTCACTCGTGACTACGTGAGACATACATGAGTTTGAAGGGGGCGTGAAAGTTGTTTTTACGTTCATCTGATCAAAGGCAACCGTCGATTATGCTCGGAAAATTCCGATTCTCTAGCTGCTTCAATTTTGAAGTTACAGAAGTCCTGCGTGATATTTTCACGCGGCCGTACGTGAGATGCACAAGAGCTAGAAGGCTTAATTTACTTTTACGAGCACAACAATGGATGAGAAGTAACGCTGCAAAATTGCAGTTCTCTACAACTTCTTGGTCAGCTTAAATCTGAAGTTGGCCAGTTTAAGCTTTGGCAGTTTAAGCACGATGCTAGTTTAAGCTTTAGCGTCTGCGTACGTGAGAAGGCTGCATTTGAAATCTTTGGATTGGATGAGGCCAAAGAACAACTCTGTGAAGCTTCAGCCTCCTAGGTTGCGCCGTCCTCGAAAACGCTTGCCCGCCAAAAAAATTTCACGTGCCCGTACTTGAAAGTCACGTGAACATGAGCGTCCGTTCTGAAAGTGAAGGCTCACAGTTATGTGCAGATTAAATTATCAAAGTTTCAGCCTTGCAGCTATTGTGAACCTCGAGATAAAAACTCGCTCCACACACAAATACACATACACACAGCCACACGCACAGACAATCCCTCGACATTATGCGTTTTTGCATTGCACAGGTGCAAATAACGCATAGGGTCGCAAAGTGCGCTCGCTTTTGAGTTTGTGATAAAATTGAACATTTATAATATTCATGTGCGGGAAAGTTTGCCGCTAAGCTAAATTAAGACAACCTCTTGAAAATAGAATCTGCAGAGCAAAAACCCGAAAATATAATCGGCAACTACTAACATTTGCTTCTGGATACCGGTATCCAGCTAACGAGCACTCCAACTTTTTGTACGACACTGACTGATGTGAAAGTGGCTTGGCTGTTGCTTCGGCATGTTGGTTTGCAGATGATCGAATGTCATGTTGCTTAAAAAGTATATCGTACAGATTTTCGAGTAGTACAGGCGCTTCTCTGGTCAGTTCCGGAATATGCAAATCTTCATTTGTTGACACAGATAGACTGAACTGTGATGTGAGCGCTTCATCGTCAAACAGACTTTCGGGGCAGATCGAGTGAAGTGAGCTGTCTTCACCAAGGTCAGTAAGCTCCGAAAATGCATCTTCCTGAAAACGCAAGAAAATTACTATTGTTCTAGGCATAGTGACTCCGGTTTTGATAGCCAACAAAGCATTTTATGTTGCAAACAGAATGCTAGCATTTAAAGTTAATGATTGTTTCCGTTTTTCATAAGATGAAAATCTTTCGAAGCGTTTTACGGCTTTGCTATCCATTTACAAGTCCTTTACTGCAACGCCGTGCATGCTTATATTTACAGTGCAAACATATGTACAAATACGTAACAAATGCATACGTACGCAAAAAAATAAAAACACACACCTTAAGTATCAATACTTTTCATTACTTTTTAGATCTGCGGTATGACTTTATTTGTTAAAACGAAGTGCGTATTGCCACCGTTACGGCTCGTGCGTGCTTTCTTACATCAGCGTTTAGTTCAAAAGCATACAGGCATTTTTCGAGGCCCAGATTAGATCAGAGACTGGTCTCAGCATTGCGGTGTGGAGACATTCTTTAGTTGAAGTTATTTACGGCGTAGTAAAAAAAGCAAGCACTTTGTTACGCCGTTGTTTCCGACGTTGAATTGTCTGGACCGAAAACGAAGAGATGGAAAAAGAGGCTTTAATTAACGAAACGTAGGGACGAAGACTGTATGCTGAATTGGTGACGCGACATCCCGTCCGAGTTAGGGCAACTTTCTTACAAGTGCGGTTACTCTGCATTATCTTATTTTCCTTGTTAAAGTAAGGACAAAATGTGGATGAACTCAACCCCAAAGAGTGCGCTATGTAACCTACCATTTGTGCGCTGGTTACTGGTACAAAGAAGTTGTTTAATAAGTGAGCTCATCTTTGTTTTGGCCTTTCTTACACGTAAGGGGAAAGGGCAACGGTTGGGATGGTAGTGTTGCGTTATGGAGTTACATGAACCTCTAGGGTATGTGATTATCAGTTCCGCATGAAGCCCGGTCATTTTTTGGGTGAGCGATAGTTAGTCATTCATCCAAAATGCAAAGTTGACAATGCACGGGGTGTTTGAAGAGGATTACAAGTTCGCAAAATGCACTCGCTCTTGAGTTTGCGATGAAATTGAATATTTGTTATGGCCGCGTTCGGGGAATTTCGCCGTCAAGCTAAATTAAGACAAGCTCTTTGAAAATGGAATATGCAGAGTAAAAATCTTCGAAAATAAAATTGGGAACTACTAACATTTGTTTCTGGACACGCGTATTCAGCCAACGAGCACTTCAACTTTTTACGCGGCACTGACTGATGTGAAAGTGGCTTGGTCGCCATTTTGGCAGGGAGGGTCACAGGCGATCGAGTTTCGCATTGCTTGGAAAGTGTATCGTAGAGATTTTCGAATAGGGCAGATGCTTCTCCAGTCAGTTCCGGAATATGCAAATCTTCATTTGCTGGCACGGTTAAACTGAACTGTAATGCGAGCGCTTCATCGTCAAGCAGGCTTCTAGGGCAAATCGAGCAAAGTGAGTTGTCTTCACCAAGGTCAGTAAGCTCTGAATCTGCCTGAAAACGCGAGAAAATTAGATTGCTCAAGGCATAGCGACTCCGGTTTTCATAGCCAAGAGATATCATCTGTAATGCACGTCTGTATCTCACGTACTGATACGTGGAAACTTTGTCAGGAAAACTGCTAACTTGGAAACCAAAAAAACGCGCCAGGCTTGCCGGTGCGATCGTGCGTTTTTTTACTGAACTCATAGATCGCTAATATTAGAAATGATCCCTTCGCTTGGGTTCATACTGGCCGTACTCTGGCGTCTTTCGGCATACAGGAGGAAAGGCGTCGGTTGGGGTGACGGTGTTGCACTATAGGGCTGCATGGACATCCAAGTACAGGTTGTCACTTTTTCGCATGAAATCCGGTCGTTTTTCAGAAGTAAATGCTCGCTCTTTATGCCTTTTTGCATACATGCAAATTGCAAAAACGCATATTGGAAAGAGGCTGTCGGTGTGTGTCTGTGTGTTCGCACTTTTTCAACTCGAGGACCAGAAAAGCTAGAAGGCTGAAACTTCGAGAGTATGTGCCCTGATTGTGCGCGACACCCCAACCCCTCTCCTCCGTTTTAATATCACTGTCCGCCTACGCCTGGGAGCCGCGTATAGACGTCTTAAAATAATTAACCAACGCACGGGCTGCCAGTGCGAAGATGCGTTTTTTGCATAGTTCCTCACAGATTTTAGTCGCTACCTGCACTGGTTTTTCCGGCAAATGCTTCTAGTTGAATGAATTAAGACTGGCTGCCAGTCAGGAAACACCTCCTGAAAATTTCAGCTTCAAGCTTTCCTGGCTCCTGAGTTAGCAACTCATTCGAAAAAAAAATTTCATGGGCCCGTACGTGGGTACAACGCATACCCGATGTCAGGATTTGAGCTCGTTGAGACTTACTGGATGGGGAATATCCACTTAAAATTACAGTCTTCTAGCTTTTCAGGTTCTCGAGTTAGCAACTTATCCGAGAAAAGCCTTGGCGAGCCCGTGCGTAGATAACACGCATGCCCGAGGGCTGGTTTTGGACTCCTCACTACCTATTTGGGCGGGGAACACTCCCTTAAAATTCCAATTTTCTAGCTTTTTAGGTACTCGAGTTAGCAATTTAACCGAAAAAAACTTTGGCAAGCCCTACGTGGGTACCGCGAGGGTAAGAGTGCCCATTTCGGATATGGGTCCCGCAAAAGCATGTAGATTAAGTTTCTCAAGTTTCAGCTCGCAGCTTTTGTGGTTTTGAGATGGAAAATCAGTACAGATGCGCAGCGTACGCAAGACACACGAATCGACAAACTCTTGTCAATATGCGTTTTCTGCATTGCATAGCTGTAAAAAACGCATAAAAATACGCGAATTTCTTGGCGGGAAAGCGACCTCGGAAGCAAGCAAGGTAAGATGCTGAAACTTTGCAGAATATTCACTGTTCATGAGTGATCTAAAAATTTCAAATTCAGCCTTCAGATATGCGTGATACTCAAGTAAGAGCGCATAAAGGTTTTGGCGGAAAATCACTAACTCGGGAGCCAAAAAAGCCAGAAAGCTGAAATTTTCGGGGAATTTTCCCTGTCCAAGTACAACTTAAATTTTAGAAATTGAGCCTCCAGGTGTACGTGGTTCACGTACGAGGATGTGAAAAATTTGAAGGAAAAATTGCTGACTCAATAATCAGGAAAGTTGAAAGGCTGAAATTTGGGAGAGATGTTCCCCGCCCACGTCAAATTCAGCTTCACAGATAGCTGGGGTAGCCATGTATGGGCATGTGAAAGTTTTGGCTGAAAAATTACTAACTCAGAAACCAGAAAAGCTAGAAAGCTCAAATTCTGGGAAAATGTTCCCTGTCCAAGTACAACTTAAACTCCCCAAACTCAGCCTTCAGAGATGCGTGGTTCTCACATATGGATAGTTAAGTTCATGACGAGAAAACTGCTCACTGAGTAACTAGGTTATACAACTTAAACACCCCAAACTCAGCCTTCAGAGATGCGTGGTTCTCACATATGGATAGTTGAGTTCATGACGAGAAAACTGCTCACTGAGTAACTAGGTTGTTTTCAAAGTACTGCCGTTAAATGGAAATAGTTTATTTACTTTATGCAAAATTTATAGTGACTTGCGCTAGTGAGCGCAAAAGTTAGATGCAAAGTAACAACCATTCATGCTGTTAATGAACTGAGTTCAAGTCTGTTGCCAAAATACATGGTCGCACCGGCAAGCCTGGTGCATTTCTACTCGGGTTGGAAAAGTGAAAAATGCGAATTTTTGAAAACGAAGAAATTTCAGTTTATCAGTGAAAAGTGGAGAAGTTGGTAGAGCGGGCGTTCGTTAAAAAATCCATATATGTAAATGAACTAGATACTGGGAAGGAATGAGGGTGGTCGTTAGCTGCAAAATGCACTCATCTTTGGGTTTGATGTACAGTTGAATTTTTCTCATAACCGCCTGCAGGGAATTTCATTTCCAAGAATTAATACCATGCATGAAATTAAAATCCCAGCGAGGTTTCAGCCTCTCCGGTAAGCGAAATAGCCACTTCGCTACAAATATTTTCGAAGTGCCCTACTCGTGGTGCAAGTGGAAACTGGAACACAATTTAGGCATATTATTCCCCATATGAGCGATAAACATGTTAACAAAATTTTAGCCACTGTTTTCTGACTAGTTTTCGGGTCAGCACAGTACCAAGTTACAAGTTTTGATGTAGTAGCGTGCGCTGCACAAGCGTGTGCGATGGAAGAATTTGAAATCTTTAGTTCCCACAAGCACAATGAATACCCCTGCAAATTTCGAGACTCCTGTATCGCCTGGCTTTCGGAATCGTTTCCCGTCGAAGAAATTTGCATATTTTTTCAGGGTTCCTTGCGCGGGGCTTAGGCACGTATGGGAGCAGACCTTAAAACGGGGGTGACACACGGGGTATGAACATATATGCAAAATTTCAGCTTCCTGGCTTTCCTGGTTGATGAGATAAAAGCGGGTAACAAAGTTCCTAATACACACACTGACGAGTTCCCGACAATATGCGTTTTTGCTCGCCGTTGCACAGCAAAAAAGCGTAATTAGAAAGCTGAAGCTTCAAAGAAATGCTTCTTACTTAAGTGGGAGCAAAAGATTTCAAATTCAGCTCGTTAGAACTGTCATGGCTCACGAAAAAAAGTGCGGACGCGTGGAAACTTTGGCAAGAAGACTGCTAATTCAAGAGCGAAAAAAACTAGAAAGCTGAGAATTCAAGGTGATGTTCTCGACTCATGCATGATCAGCACTTTAGAACCATCCAAGACTCATGTGTGGACACGTGACAATTTTGGCAGGAAAACTGCTAGCCCGGGGACGAGAAAAGCTGGAAGGTTGGAATTCTAAAGGAATGTTCCGTGCTACTAAAAGATTTTGGTTCATTTCCTCTGGTGGAGTCTTTTTCGCACTCAAGCAATTTTCCATTTGTCGGGTCACTAAGTTGACAGCTACAACTGATATGCCTTAATGCTGCACAGTTAACTTCCTGAATATCGAAGGCCAGTATATCACAAATTTTAGCCATCCTAATTCCTCGTAATCTTACTATAGCACGAAATGGTGCAAAAACGCATGGTCACACCGGCCCGCCTGGTGCGTTCCAGCTTGGGTTTTCATCTCTTGCGCACCTTCAAGCGTCTACGGCTTCAGTCTGCTTGACTTCTATTGGTTTTAAATTGGTTCGACTGTCGCATCCCAGGGTGGATTTATTATACCCGTTTCTATTGCCGTGTGCTTGTTTTTTTAAAGTAGTTAGATAGTCATTTATATTGACGCCTCATTCTGTTGTCTTTGAACAATCTTGAGTGCGTAATTTGCGTGCAGATCAGAAATGCAAAGTTATTAAGTTCAACGCGCTTCCACATTTCGGTACCTGCAGATCCTCCGACTTACTCATTTCTCTAAACGTTTTCTCTAATTGAAAAGAATTTTTATGAATGCATCAAACAAAGCGAGACCTCTCCAGCAGATTGAGAAACGTCAGGCAAAAATTCGTTTGTTGTTTGCTGAAGATTGATGTGGTGCTCCGGCCTTGGTTTTTCAGCGTAAAACAAATTTCCAGAAGTATTCGAATGAGATGAATAACCATCGGAAATCCCGTTGCTTTGGGAAAACGGATTTATCTGAAAGTAAGATGATCAGTTATTTCAGCAGCAATCTATGCATAAGACCTGCTTATTTGGTGGCCGAACGACTTTAAGCATTCTGCTCTCCAGGAAGAACCGCCAATTTTGTCTGAATCAAAAACAGCTTGAAACTTTTATATGAACTAAGTTCGAGGACCCTTCAGTTCACTGCAGTAAATTATCGGTTATGTACGTTCGTCATGTAGTCAGGAAGCTTGTACTTGCATGAAGGCTGAATTGCAACCTATCTGCCGAGTCACATATTCTGATCTCAGTTACGCTAGGGTTAATTGAAAATAATCACTGTCCTCGGACGATAGCATGTCGAGAAAGAAGGATGTCGTACCCATTTTAAAAAAGTGCAAAAAAAAA